GTTCGTTTCAAGATCAACCCATCCACCTAAAGCTCTGAATTTGGGACTATCTCTAACTTGTAATTTCCTGCTTTCAGACCTAGCTTGGACTTCACAAATTGATCTTGGGACTAGCCCTACCCCTAAGCTAATATGCATCCCTGCCCCTGTAAATTTACATAAGTCCTGACATGTTATATCCACCCCAGGATCAACTCTCCTTACCGCGAGTGTTGACGGAACCAATGGCTCTCTAAGTCAGGACTTGATTCTGTTGTGGTTGTAATGCATTTTGTTTTTTTCTTTGCGAGCTAATTTAGGAGACCATTATAACATGGAAGAGTTAGAGCGAAGTGGGCAGGTGTAAGAATATATAGAGCTAGTAACTTTACGACGATGTGTTGTTGAGCTCTCGATGAGGCATTTGTTATCCACAAAGTAGTTTTAATTGACTTGGCAGATATTGTAGGCAAGCAATTACAGTGCATTAGTGGTTTTTCCAGCCGAAAAGACCGATTCGAGAAAACAAACAAGATTTTTTTTCAGTTACATGAAGAAACAAATATGGAGTAGGTAGTGAAAAGCGGGAAAATTTTCTTGTCCTATTGAACGTACATTTGTCTTTGTAGCCTTGATTCTAAGTTTTGAGTTTAGCCCCAACCCACACACATGAAGTGCTCGGGTTGGTCTCAAACCGAATACTTCTGGTTAGAATCTGTGTCGGCGCTTCATTGACAAGGAGCAGAGCGGTCGGATTCTGAAGATGCCAGTCCCCATCGACGCCTATGTCGAGCTAACGTTCGACGAGGCCGGACATCGCCTTCGCATGCAGCAAGCTGGGGAGCGGCCTGACGGTGAGGAGCGACCAGCACTGGCGCGAAGTCGACCGCTGCCTCGCCTACTTGCCGACACCCGTGACACTGCCCCGGAGTTCGGCAGTGGACCCGAGTCACTGTGTCTGGTCGGCTACGTGGACGCCGACGACGCCGGGGACAAGCAGAACCGGACGAGAATGGGCGCCTACGTGTTCGTCTTCGAAGGGGTCGCTGTCTCCTAGTCGAGCCAGCGCATCAAGTGCGCGACGCTCTCGTCGACTGACTAGCAAAGAGGCACCACCGACTTCGTTTCCTCCTAGCTGAGTTCCAGCTGCTGGACGCTGGGACGCTGACGGTCCTTCAGGTGGACAACAAGTCGGCCATCTCAGTCGCTGAGGGCTTGGGGATGCAGAGCAACCTCATGCACATGGAGCAGCGCATGGCTGCAGCACATGGTGAAGCATGGGTGTGAGAGTACGACGGCTTATGCCAGCTATGCATGCTTGCCTTTACTTTATTATGCTACTTCTAGCTTAGGTTTATTTTATGCATGCATGAATTGCTTGAATTCCTAGGCTAGGTGCTTTCCTATATTTTATTATAGTTATAGCACCGAGCTAGGTTGCGTACACCGAATTCTGGGCTATTCGGTTGCCACCGAAATGCCTTCTACCGAATTCGGGAAGGGTCTGTTCGGGACGCTTCGCGACCCCCAGAACCTTCGCGTAACACCTGGTTACTGCCCCTTGTGTCGAGCCTATATATAGCCTCGTGTTGTACCCAGGTGATCATTCAATTCAAACTCTCTTTTCTGAGCTCGATCCTAGATCCTCACACTTGGTAATCAGAGCTCGTTTACACGCGAAGTTCTTTCGACCGCTAAAAACCAGTCTTCAAAAAACCGCGGGGGCGACGCAGATAAACATCGATTTCGGGTACGTAAAACCGGTTCCGTGTTTTTCCGCTCCTCCTCGATTCGGTTTTTCGGACGCGTAATGTCAGGCATGGAAGGCCAGGGCGACAACTACGCGACAACGAGCGACGTCGCGAGCCTCCGCACCGACATGGAGCAGACGCAGGCGACGCTTCGTCGACTCGAGGCTTTTCTGACAAGCCATCCGGCGCTCGCCACGACAGCAGCAGCGACTGCAACGACTGCAGCACCGACAACTCCAGCAGCAGTGGCGACACCGACATTTCACGGTCCGATGGCACCACTGACGCCGAACCTCGAAGCAGCACGACCGAGGCTCCCGGAAGCGTTCGATCCAAGCGCGAAGGGATCCGACGTCCGGCGTTTCGTGGCAACCCTCGAAATTTACTTCGAGGCCATTGGCTGTTCGACCCCGACACACGACGCAACACGAATCCGGCTCGCAGCGACACTGTTACGAGGACCAGCACTCGAGTGGATCTACAACACCGACGTGGCCCGCGGGGAGAAAACGTGGACGCAGTTTCGGGCAGAATTAATCGGGCGTTTCGAACCAATTAATACTACCTACATGGCGCGACAACAAATTCATCGGCACAAGCAGTACAGTAGTGTAACGCAGTACACGCAGCAGATGGAGCTCCTGTTCACCCGCATCCCCGACCTGACCGAAGGCGAAAAAATCCAGGCGTACACAGAAGGGTTAAAATTGGAGATTCGGCGGCAGGTGATCGCGGCGAATAACGACAGCTACAGAGACATCGTGCGTGCAGCCGAGCGTTACGACGCGCTGACCCGAGGTCAACCCGAAACACGACGTTTCGCGCCGAACCGTACATTCGGCACGGAGCGATCGGCACCCCCCACGTTCGCCGAACCGATGGACATCGACAAATTCGACGCGAAGCAGCAGCCGACCAAATGCGAATTTTGCGGCGCAGCAGGGCATCAGATTTTGTCGTGCTACAAGATGAAGAAAGTACGTGCAATCATGCAGGGCGGTAACAGTGGAGCACCCCCGAAGTAAAAAAACGGGAATCGCCAGTAGCCGCGGATCGAACTGGCGATCGCGTAAAGATCCGAAAAGCGAAAAAGGGCGACGACGTGGCGACTTCGGAGCGGGCGAAAAAAGGAGAAAATGATGGCGCGAATATAAAACGTCACGACCGGCCGGCATCAGGGGAAATCGCCGAGGCGACTGGTGGCTCCGCGAAAAAAGACTCTGCACCGACCGGGAAACTCCAGCCGGACCCCCACGAAAGTAAGAATTCGTTAAAAGTATCCTATACTCTAACGAAAAATATTGCTTCTCGTGGTTTTCAAGCCTTTGAAAAATTCAGGGGAGAATTAAAGGCCAAGAAAAAGCCTTTAGAAATTATTCAGGTACCTGCAAATTTGGGCAAAGTATTACGGAGCGTAGAAAAGGGTCGTGCGTTCCGTGGTGTTAATATTCTCTCCCCGCAGCGTAGTGTTAAGGCTCCCCGTTGCCCACAGGTGAAGCCTACACAGCTGCAAAGGCTTAGAGGAGACATCCAGGCTCAAGAGAAATTATACAAGCCTCGGAAAGATCCTCCTGTCAGAATGTTATATTTGTCTAGCCTGCAGTGGGGTGCTCTGTAGCGAGTACAACCCTTCTAGGGTTTGCTATTTGTATCCCCATTCTTGCTAGTTCAACCCTCTCTCTTTTGCCTAATTCTCTCAACATGGTATCAGAGCAGGTCGACCCTCCTGGGTCGATCCTGTGGGTGGGCCCACCACCTAATGCTTCCGCTGCTGTACTTCCTGCCGGGCGCCTCGGGCGCGCGACGACTTCTTCCTGCCGGTTTTTTCTAGGGTTTCGGCGGTTTTCATCCCGCCGTGCGCTCGGGGCGCGCGGCGGTTTTCTGCACGCCGTGCGCCCCGAGGCGCGCGGCGGTTTCCCACCGTCGAAGCGCCCTCCCCTCGTCGCCGTCGACCCCCCGCGTCGCCCCGCAGCCCCGCGCGTCGCCCCCGACGTCTCGTCGCGACACCTTGGGGAGCCGCGCGCGGCCCCCCGCTACCTCGTCGCGACGCCGTGGGGAGCTGCGCGCGGCCCCCGCTGCCTCGTCGCGACGCCTTAGGGAGCCGCGCGCGGCCCCCCGCTGCCCCGTCGAGGCGCCCTGGGGAGCCGCGCGCGGCCCCCGCTGCCCAGAGGTGGCGCCCTGGGGGTCGCGCGCCTTCCCCCTCGCCGTCCCCCGCGCTCCTTCTCCCTTTCGCCCGTTTTAGGGTTTGGGGGTGGGGAGTGTGGGGGTGGCGGCTGTGGGGGTGTCGGTTGTGCGTTACTCTACCTACTCCTCCTCCTCCCTAGTCTCCCTCTACTGCAGCTGCCGCTGAGGGGGGTGGTGTGTGGGAGTCTAGGGTTTGGGGTTTAAGGGGGGGTACCGTGGGAGTGGAGCTAGGGGTGAAGCAAGGGGTGTGTGTCGAGGGGTGTGGGACTGTTGGGGGAGGTTGAGCGGAGACTGCCGTCGTGTCGTCCGCAGCACCTGTATTCCGGGGTTCCGCGGACCTCCGGTAGCTCAGAGAGCCGGCTGCACCTGTCGCCCGTGGGTCCGCTGCACCCTCCGCAGCGACTATTACCCCTGTAGTCCGGGGCTCTGCTTCCGGTAGCCACTAGCGTTGCGCCAGAGCCGTCTGATGCCCGTGTGTCTGCAGCTTCAGTCGTCGCCTCCACTCCTTTCTCCTCTCGCCAGCCCTCCTCCTCCTCATTTGTCCTCTGTGACCGCCTCTAGCTTTGCTCATAACTTATAAACTGTTGCTTCTTGAACTTGTGCTCAGAATGTGTGGTGACATCGTGATCCACCCTGAGCTTGTACTGCTTTGCTTGCTCTGCTGATTACACCCCACTTTGGCTATGGGGGTGTGTCAGAATGTTATATTTGTCTAGCCTGCAGTGGGGTGCTCTGTAGCGAGTACAACCCTTCTAGGGTTTGCTATTTGTATCCCCATTCTTGCTAGTTCAACCCTCTCTCTTTTGCCTAATTCTCTCAACACCTCCTACCCCCCAGGTGAAGTTGGAAAGTGCTGAGTCGGGTATAGGAAGTAGGGAAGGTATTCATTTTGATGTACCCTATGATCCTATTAATGAGACCCTCTTTGGCTACTCAGCGCAGCAGAAACCACTACTCCTCGAGGTGTTATGCAATGGGCGACGCCTCCAGGCACTGGTGGACAGCGGTGCATCTCACTCAGTATGTGACCGCGGAGCATTGGAGAAAATTGGAGAGAAGGCGGAGGAGACCCAGTTTTCAGCAACCATGGTGGACGGTACGAAGCTTCCCATCCACGGCGAAGCAACCTTGCAGCTGCACATAGGTGCGTTGAGATGGAAGCCGAAGCTACCTGTTACCAACATCAAAGGGTTAGATTTCATCTTGGGGCGAGATTTCCTGAAGCGGTTCAACCCCGAGATCGATTGGGTCAACAGCAAGGTGTGCATCTACAACAACGGGAAGCGGATAGCACTACGAAGCTGGACGGATACAGGAGACATTCCGGAAACAACACTGGCACGGTTCGAACGGATGGTGAACGAGGGCGACGCGGGTTACGTAGCACTGGTCATGGCAGCAGCAGAAGAGGTGAAACCGGGTTCCGAGCTACCCGCAGCAGTGAAAGAAGTCTTGGAGCAGTACAAAGACATCATGCCCGACGACCTACCTGCAGGCGTACCTCCAGCACGCACCCACGAGCACGAGATCGTGGAGGAACCAGGTGCGAAACCCGTCTCACGTGCACCATACCGACTGAGTCCGACCGAGCTGACAGACATGAAAAAACAGATCGAATATTTACTGGACAGACAACTGATCCGCCCATCCACATCTCCCTACGGTGCACCAGTTCTCTTCACACCAAAACCAGACGGCAGTTTACGGATGTGCATCGACTACCACGCACTGAACAAATTGACAGTTAAAAATAAATACCCCATACCGCGCATCGACGACTTACTGGACCAACTGCGTGGTGCAACAGTTTTCTCGAAGCTGGACCTACGGTCGGGTTACTGGCAGATCAAGATGGCGGACAACTCGATCCACAAAACGGCGTTCCGTACGAGATACGGCTCCTACGAATACTTGGTGATGCCGTTCGGACTCTGCAACGCACCAGCAACGTTTCAGGCGGAGATGAACCACATCCTTCGACCCCTGCTGGACGAGTGCGTAGTGGTGTACCTGGATGACATTCTCATCTACTCTAAGAACATGAAGGAGCACGTGGAGCATCTGCGGAAGGTGTTCGAAATCCTGCGGAAGAATAAGTTCTACGTGAAGCTGTCAAAGAGCGACTTCGCACTGGAGAAAGTGCAGTTTCTCGGGCACATGGTGAGTGCCAAGGGCGTGCACGTGGACCCGCGGAAAATCGAAGCCGTTAAAAAGTGGAAGGTTCCGGAGAACGTGAAAGAGTTGCAGCAGTTCCTCGGCTTCGCCAACTACTACAACAGGTTTGTGCCGCAGTACGCTAAGATAGCAGCGCCACTGACCGACCTACTGAAAAAGGATACGCCCTTCAGATGGGTACTCCGTGGACGGCGAGATCGCAACGGCAGAGAAACAAAAGCTGTTACAGTGGGAGAAAGACTTAGCGGTAAGGAAGGGTTCAGGAAAGATTTGGGTACCGAATTACGCCCCGCTACGACAGATCCTATTAGAGGAATTTCATGACGTACCTTACGCGGGACATTTCGGGAGCAACAAGACGTTAGCGGGAATAGCGAAGTATTACTACTGGCCCCGGATGGCAGCAAACATGCAGCAGTTCGTCACCTCATGCGACACGTGCCAGCGGATGAAGAGTAGCAAGCAGAAAAAAGCAGGGTTACTTCAACCTCTACCCGTACCGGAGCAGCCATGGCAGGTCGTTAGCCTCGACTTCATCACAGGACTTCCCTCGACCTCACGGGGACACGATTCCATCCTCGTAGTAATCGATAAGTTCTCCAAAATGGGTCATTTCATACCGACCAACGCCACAGCTACAGCTGAAGCAACTGCTCGCCTCTTCTTCGACCGCATCATCACCATCCACGGCATCCCCGCTACACTTATCTCAGACAGAGACCCAAAATTCACAAGTAAGTTCTGGAAGGAGCTTATGGGACTGCTGGGGACCAAGCTTGCCATGTCTTCAGCATACCATCCCCAGACTGACGGACAAACGGAGCGACTCAATCAGGTGGTTGAACAGTTACTGCGTACAGCTTGCAAAGACGACATCAGCCACCGGGATTCACAGTTACCAACCTTAGAGTTCGCTTACAACAACGCCTCACATGCGGCCACAGGGAAAACCCCTTTCTTCCTGTGTTACGGACGGGAACCACTCACACCACAGCAGCCAACCACACCGGCACACGTCCAAGCCGCACACGACTTCGTCACCACCATGCAGCAGCTATGGGAGAAGACTCAGCGGCGTCTCACCACGATGCAGAACTCCCAGAAGCAGTATGCCGATCGACAGCGACAAGATCACTCAGTAGCAGTCGGAGATCAGGTGCTTCTCGACACGCGCAACTTGAACCTGTCACACCTACCATCCAAACTCCGGCCTCGCTTCTGTGGTCCTTTTCTCGTGGAGGCACAAGTGACACCAGTTACATTCCGCTTGCGCTTACCAGATACGTGGAAGCTTCACAATGCTTTCCATGTTCAGCTACTGAAACCCTACAAGGACCCCAACCAACAGTTCCAGGGACGGCAGCTACCGCCACCTCCACCTGTTCTTGTGCAGGATGAACCAGAGTACGAGATCGAGCGCGTTCTCACTCATCGGCGCCGCGGCGGCAAGACCCTCGAGTTCCTGATATGCTGGAAGGGATACGACCCCACTGAGGACAGTTGGGTTGCAGAAGCTGATATGGGCAACGCACGCCGTGCTCTCAAGGACTATCTTGTCAAGCAGGGTGTATCTCACGCCACCCAGCTTTGAGGGGGGGACGTGTGAGAGTACGACGGCTTATGCCAGCTATGCATGCTTGCCTTTACTTTATTATGCTACTTCTAGCTTAGGTTTATTTTATGCATGCATGAATTGCTTGAATTCCTAGGCTAGGTGCTTTCCTATATTTTATTATAGTTATAGCACCGAGCTAGGTTGCGTACACCGAATTCTGGGCTATTCGGTTGCCACCGAAATGCCTTCTACCGAATTCGGGAAGGGTCTGTTCGGGACGCTTCGCGACCCCCAGAACCTTCGCGTAACACCTGGTTACTGCCCCTTGTGTCGAGCCTATATATAGCCTCGTGTTGTACCCAGGTGATCATTCAATTCAAACTCTCTTTTCTGAGCTCGATCCTAGATCCTCACAATGGGAAATTCGTGCTGAAGAAGATCCTGACCACCGAGCAGCCGGCTGACTTCCTGACGAAGGCGCTGCACTTTCCGGCCTTCAACCGGTGCTCCGTTGCAATCGGCCAAGTGCGTCTGGCCAACGTCGACGACGGTCGTGACGACGTGCTGCAGTAGGTACCGTGCCCTACTGCACGGCTGGTGCGGTAACGACGTGCTGTGTGTTATATGCATGTCGACAACGACGAGCTTTTCTCCGTAGAGTACGGCCGTGTGGGATGGAAGCCCAAGCAAGAACGCGACAGGGGAGTGTTAACGACTGTTGGATGTTGGTCGCATCCTCGCTTGGGCGGAGCCGACTTCCTGGTCGAGTGTGCGGGAGGTGCAGCCGACCGACTGCAGTGGGCGACGCCGACTTGGGCGAGCAGGATGACAGATCTGGTCGACCTGAACGGGGGCCACTGTGAAGCCGCCGACAACGGGCACCCGGCGGCTGACTTCGATCGTGGACGATGAAGGGACTCATCGACCTGGGAAGGGTGCCGACCTTGGGAGGCCGACTTGGCGAAGTCGGCAGACAACTTCAGGGTGGCCGACGAAGAGGTTCGTCGGTCTATGGGTTATTCGACTTCGGTGAAGCTGGCTTCTGTGACGCCGACTTCATTGGGATGGCGGAGCCGGCTTGGTTAGCAGGCTTGGGGGCCAAGTCGACGTGGTTGGCCGACTTCTCCGGTTAGCCGACCTTGAGGAAGTTGGCTACAGCGGAGTCGGTTTTGACGAAGCCTGCCAAGACGATGGTCGACGAGGTGAAGTGGGTGCCGATGAAGGTGTTCATCAACATGACGCCGACTTGGGGACGCCGACTTGAAGACGTCGGCGGCCTGCCCTGGTCGACCGTGTAACTTGGCAAACAAAGTTCTGCGGAGGTGCGCGAACGTCGTCCAGATGGTTTTGGCAAGGCCAACCTCGGATTGGTATCCCAAGGTTAACGTGGCTCATCAGGCGCGATCAATGGCACATGGCCGACTTGGCAGCGGCGCCGTGCACATGACGGTGCACGACACGCCAACCGTCTGTGAGCACCTGCGAAGTAGGTGCACTGCTGTCACCTGCGGGTGCAATGTTGGACAGTCACCTTGCTGCAGCGTTGGCACGCCGTCGACTTGCAACACTGGCAAGCCGCCTTTCAGCAGTGCTAGAGCGGTGCGAACTTTGCAGTGCTGGAATGGAACGCGGTCGACCTTGTTGCGCTGGAAGTCGACCTGCTTCTGTGCTCGGCAGACTTGCTTCTGATGTAGTCAGTTTTGCCATTGTTGCCAATCATTCTGTAATCCAAACTTTGCTAGTGAAACTCTTGCGAATTCCTCCCGTGAATGTGTGCGTAGAGGGAACAGAAGCAAATACAGGCAACGCTACAATCACTCCTAGAACTCGTGCCTCCCCGTAGTCCAGCTCTCGGTGTAGAGTGACTCTCCGTACCATCGCTCCCTCTCTCCCGTCACTCCCTCTCTTCCGTCGCTCCCTCTCTCCCGTCGCTCCCTCTCTGCCATTGCTCCCTCTCTCTTGTCACTTCCTCTATCCTGTCGCTTCCTCTCTCCCGACGCCCCCTCTCTCTTCCCACTCACATAGGCTCGCAATTTATTCACGCTCGTTGCTTATTCGCGCATGCCGCTCACTCACGCTCACCTCTCCCATCCCTCCTTTTGTTCTTCCCTCCATTCCTCCTTTGCTCTTTCCCCTTTTCCCCCTTTGGTCTTCCCCCCATTCCCCCTTTGACCTTCCCTTCGTTCCCCCTTTGCCCTTCCCTCCGTTTCTCTCTTTGCCCTTCTCTCTGTTTCCCCCTTTGCCCTCCCCTCTATCTCCCCCTTTGCCCTTCCCTCCGTTTTCCCCTTTACCCTTCCCTTCGTTTCCCCCTTTGCCCATCCCTCCGTTTCCCCCTTTGCCCTCCCTCCATTTCCACCTTGCTCTTCCCTCTGTTCCCCTTCTGCCATTTTCTCTCATCTTCCCTCTTTGTTCATCTCGTCCCTTCCGCCTCTTCCAATCCCATTCCCCAATTCCTCGCAACCCCCTATTTTTTACTGCCCTGTTGCCCTCCCCATTGCCCTCGCCCCACCTCCCATAACCTTTTGCATCATTCTCGCTTTCCCTCACGGTCACCCAAAATTCCCCATTTATCTCCCTCTTCTACGCATCCCTCTCCACCATTGATCGCGGTTAGCTCACCACATGTCACTTCCTTCTATTTCCCTCCTCCCACTCTTCTTTGCCTCCCTCCTTTGATCCTATCCCCGCCTTGCAGAGAGTCACTCTACACCGGTGGGAACTAGACAACAGGGAGGGCACGGGTGGTACGAGTGATCGTAACGTTCTCTCTAGCCATTGATCATGTGTGGGTTCACGGGGTAAAAAAGGCAACAGTTTGACTAGCAAACGTTGGATACAATAATGCAAGAGTGATTGGCAATGGTGACTACATCTGGGGCCTAGCAAGCCTAGCAACAAGCAGGTCGACCTTGTTAACGGGAATGGATTGTTGGCCCCGCCCTCGCTTGGGCAACGCCGACGACTTGGTCGGATGTACGGGAGAAGCAGCCGACCGTTCACAGTGAGGGAGCTGCTCAATGGGCTTCATCGATCTGCAGGGTATCACTGTGGTGTTGCCGTCGACCTAGGGTGCTCGACTCGCCTTCTTTTGCGGGGCAGGTCGACGGGGTGGTCGCGGACCTGCGCAGGGCTGTCACGGGGCTGGAGCCGTCGACCAGGGAGCTCGACAGCTGCAGCCGATGGGCTGATTCACGGGTTGGCCTTCGACCTGACAAGTGAGCAGCGATCGACGAGGGGAGCTCGGCAACAACATCTGACAGTGCTGGTCGACGGAGGGGTCCGTCGACCATGGTGCTGCTCGACGGGAGCTGTGGTTGACCAGAGGCAGTTGGTGGTCGACCAGAGGCACCTGGTGGTCGACCAGAGCACCTGGTGGTGTCCAGGTCGACCAGGTAACCTGCTCGGCGAGTTCTGCGGAGGCACGCGAACGTCGTCGAGGTCGCGGTAACGAAGGCGACTTCGGGCTGGTATCCCGAAGTCGATGTGGCTCGTCAGGCGCAGACAACAGCCGACGGATGCACAGCAATGCAAGTCGGGCCAATCGTCTGCACGCACCTGCGAGCGTACGCACTGCTGTCTTTTACGGGGCAACGCTGGGCAGCCGCTCTACTGCAGCGTTGGCACGCCGTCGACCTGCTCTGCTGGCAGGTCGCCCTTCTGCAGTGCTGGCGCGGCTCCTCTACGCAACGCTGGCAGGCGGTCCACCAAGCTGTGCTGGCAGTCGACCAGGCTAGCTGCAGGGTTGCTAGGTGCCTGATGTAGCCATTTCTGTTACTCCTTGTTCAATCATTCTAGAATGTAATCTTTGCCTAGTGAAACTCTTGCCGATTTCTCCCGTGAATGTGCAAGCACTAAGGAACTAAGCAAAGCTACGATCACTCCTAGTAGTTCGTGCCAACCTCCCCATAGTCTAGCTTAGGACTATTGTAGAGTCATTTTTCGCAGACCTCTAGCGCAGCACGAGAGCAGCGTGCTAGCACGGCAAGTCGTCAGCGTATCAACGCAACTCAGAGGCAGCTTGCCAACGCTGCAAGTCGGCGAACTGCCTGTAGTGCACCAGCGCCGCTTGCCAATACTGTAGAAAGGCGGATTGCCAGCGTTGCAACCGCGGGTGACTGTAGGCGCATGTGCGAGCACCTATTTCACAGGTGCTTGTAGATGGTTCCAAGTCGTCGTGCACGTTGTGCACTGCCACGCCCGTCGTACAGGTTCCAAGTCGGCCGCATGCTGTCAATACGCCAGATGCACTACATTGAACACGTAATATCACATCAGTTGACTTCACCATGACCACATGGGCGACGTTCGCGCACCCCCGCAGAACCTCGTCGCCCTAATTACATGGTCTACTGGGAAATCCCGAAGTTGGCGCCAACGTGGTCATCGGTCGGCTCGCGAAGGTCGTCAAACCCCTTCGTTGACCATTCAGTATGGACACCGCCGACTTCCCCAAGTCGGCGTCCCCGCATGTCGACAAACACCCTAGTCGGCCGTCTCGTCGCAAGTCGGCCGCCGACTTCCCGTCGTTAGTGGCTTAGTAGTCTTTTTGCGCCGGTCGACCAACTCTGCCGACCCACTCTCCGAAGTCGGCGTCGACTACTACAGACAGCCGACTGCACCTCCCGTGCACCTTACTGCGAAGCTGGCCTCGCCCAAGCGAGGGAGGGGCCATATTGGCATCAACACGCCTCTTTTCTCCCTTCCCTCCTATCTTTCAACCCCCTTCCCTCGCTTCCCCTCACTTTCCTTTGTCCATGTTTCTACCTTCCCCTCTCCACCCCTACCATTCTTTTCCGAAGTACCTGTTAAACTGTATTATGCTTGTAGGCTGTAGTGGGGTAGCCAATATGGGGTACAACCCCAACTAGGGTTTCATATTTGTACCCAAACTTCTGCTAGTTCATCATCCTTGCCTAGTGATTCTGACATGGTATTCAGAGCAGGAGGTCCCTAGGACCTACCGACCGTTTTTTTTTAGGGCCCACCACCGCTCGCATGCGGTTACCACGCTACCCCGTGCCCTAGCCTCGTAGCGC